ACAAGAACGGCTACACATTCGACTTCATCGAGGGCGAGATGTGGGAGAAGTCGCCCTTCACTATCACCGACTTCCTGCAGCAACGGAAGCGCTGGATGCAAGGCATCTTCCTCGTGGTCCACTCACCAGCCATTCCCCTCCAGAACAAGTGCTTCCTGGCGCTCAGTCTGTACGCGTGGCTCACGATGCCGTTGAGTACGTCGAACCTGATCCTGGCCTCCATCTACCCGTTGCCGTCCACCTCGTGGTGCAACTTCCTGTCGACGTTCGTGGGCGCCGTCAGTATCTATATGTATATATTCGGTGTCATGAAGTCGTTTAGTGTCACCCGTATTGGTCTCAAGAGGTACACGTTGTGCCTGATCGGCGCCGTACTCACTATACCGTTCAATATAGTCATCGAGAATATAGCCGTTTTGTGGGGCTTTTTAGGCAAAAAACACAAGTTTTATATCGTCCAGAAACAGGTGACCCCGGCGTTCAACGTATGATATGTTGCGTGTGTTTTGTTTTAATATTTATTATTTTTTAATTGTATTTAGTTTGCGAACAAATTTTTTTTGTTGATTTTTTTGTTTCCTATTTAGTGCTAAGAAATCAATGCTTTACTCGATTTTGTAGATCTGTTTTACTAATAGAGAGATTAAAATAAATCTAATCACTTGTTATACAATTGTTTTGGTGTTTAAGTTATTATTAAGAAATATGAATTTACTTTTTTTAGTGAAAAGTTATTGAATTAAAAGTTTTGTCATAAAAATTGATAAAATTTAGTATTTTGTAAATTTTATGTTAAACACAGTTTATGTGGTTTTATAGCTAATATTTTGGATTACTCTTGAATTTAGTCAAGAATTTCACAGAATATTCTGTATGTAATAAAAGTGTATAATATTTAAAAAGTTATACAAAGTTTAAGTGGTTTTATAACATATATATTGAATTATTCTGGAGTTTAGTCAAGAATTTCACAGAATATTCTGTGCTTTGCACTGATTTGTGAGTACTTTATGTGTAAACCATTGACAACACACTCACAGCTGACTGTTGTTGTTGTCATCACTTCTGGAGGTTTATCACCGAAAACAATGTCCACAGTCTGTGATAATAGCGGTGAAGAACAACTGGAACAGTGTCTCTATCGATACAAAGATGAGGTATGTATAGGCCATCGATTGGATCAGTTGAGTACACGTCTTAAGAGGCCATTGTCTGTCGCTTCCAGTTATCACTCGTCAACTCATCGCTAGATTTGGATCAAACCAACGAAGAGTTGGTAGAATTGAGAGACAAATTACTTGAGATAATCGCTTTGACCGAAGGTTTGCCACCACATTAACCAATAGACAAGCTCTTAGCTCACGAGGAATATCTCTATCCATTCATTTGCAGCCGATTTAATTGGTGTCAAAAAAGCGCGACTTTTAGCTCAACTCGATTCACAACAATTCAGTGATAACTCAAACAACGATGTCGTCAGCGCTGGCGAACCAAAGCCATCGACATCTTCGTCGACATCACCCGAAGACAGCCTCAACACCGCCGACGAGACAGACGTAGCGTTGGATGCGCTGAACGACTCGTTAACCTCATTGAATGGCAAGGAATGTCGGGTCCCGTTGTGCGGGACCAACGGTGCCGTCAGTTATCACAACGCGATCCTAATGACCACCGATGACGGCGTCGACGGCACCAGTGATACCATTACAGTGAAGGCCTTCTTCACATATCCGACGACCAAATCGATGCTCTCGTGTCCGCACTATCTGTCGGCGAAGTGTCGCTATTCGGACGACAAGTGCCGGTACTCTCACGGACTGGACGTCCTCTTGACGGACATTAAGCCCTACGAAGCGGTCGACTATTCGACGCTCAGTCGCGACTCCATATGTTTGGCCAAAAACTCTGAGGACTCTCTTTGGCACAAAGCGGTCGTCGACGACATCCGCGACGATAAGATTGTCGTCAAGTATTGCGACGAAGACGTTGTCGACAGCCTCGACATCGAGGACGTGTTGCCATTGAGTGGTAGTGACGCGGATTGTCTTCGCGGTGGCCGCGAGTTGTCGTTAAGTGATTACACGAGCGATAGTAATGGCGACCAATTGATGGTCACTATGTTTAAGAGCGGTTCCCAAGCGATGGCTGAATGGGAAACACACACCAAAGGCATCGGATCTAAACTGATGGCCCGCATGGGTTACGTGTGGGGACAGGGATTGGGTCGCAATGGCGAGGGTATTGTCGAGCCCGTCGAGGCCTACGTCTACCCGTCCGGCAAGTCGTTGGACACGTGCATCGAATTGAGAGACAAATACCAGAATTCGGATCAATTGAGAGCCCGAATCAAACTGAAGGAGAAGACTCTGCGGAAGACTATCAGTGATGGCTATAATCGCTGCAAACCAGAGGACAGTGTCTTTGATTTCATCAATAATAAAGTGTTTGCCATAAAGAAAGACAATTCAAAGCCGTCGTCGAGTGGCGGGTCGTCAGCGCCGGTGTCCGCGAAGGATCTGAAGGCTAAGAATGACCAGTCGTTGAACGTATCGGCGCTCAAGATATCGGAAGACATCCGCAAAGCGGAGTCGGAGTTAAAGCGATTGCAGGACTCGATGGCCAGGAATCAGACGAGAGATCCGGTGATGTATAACCAGTTGCGGCAAAGAGTGGACAAACAGAACCAACTGATCGCCGGTCTTAAGCGCAAAGAGTCGCTCATTAATAGGGAACAGAACTCGAGGTCTAATAAACAGAAGTTAAGCATTTTTTGACCACAAATTGTCTAACAGTTTGTTTGTTACTGTAATATAAATCATTGTCTCATAAAAAAAAGTCATTTGCAATAAAAGTATAATTTATAAATTATTTACAAATCATATTAAAAACTAAATTAAAAAGTTTTGCTTAAATTGTGTCCACTTTTTCACTCAACGAGAGTTTAATTAGTAAACTATTAATTAGATTATAGTTTTGCTGGGGAATGCCTAACAGTGACATACGGGGTATCACTGATACCGGTGCCTATGAAAAGGTGTGTCCATTCACAGTTATAAATTACAAGACTTGGACTTGCCAAGGACATTTATACACTTATCAGTTAATTCTCAGTTGAAATTTAGTGCAATATTTGGGTGCATTTCTAGTGCAAAATAAATGAAACCACAAATTATGTTAAAAGGGGACAAATAGCGCACAACATTGAACATAATATTTGTGCCCTTTATCTACATTAGGGTACAAATTATGCGGACGTTATCACTGGTCGCACAATACATGCAAACCTGGATTTGGCTATAAATTGACTGAAAGTTTGCAAGTTTTTCGTCAAACGCTGTCATTATCTCCGACACTAAACCACACAAACAGATCCGAAACTCTTCAGCGATGTCTCTCAAGTCAGTGATCGTCACCGGAGCTAATCGTGGCATTGGTCTGGAGTTTGTGCGACAACTGTTGGCCGCGACGCCACCGCCGAAGCACTTGATCGCCACCTCAAGACAGGCCTCCAATCCAGAGTTGGATCAGTTGAGAGCCAAGAACTCAGCCCTTCATGTCTTGACACTGGAGGTGAAGAACTACGAGTCGTTCGCGGAGTTCGCCAAACAAGTGGAACAGATTGTGGGCACCGATGGCGTCGACACTCTTATCAATAACGCCGGTATTCTCATCAACAAAGACCTCCAGAGTGTGACCGCCGATGACATGATCCAGAACTTCGAAGTGAACACAGTATCACCCCTTATACTCACCAAAGCGTTGCTCCCGTTGCTGAAGGTTTGTCTCAATTAGCCATTCATTGTCTTTCATACCCCACCCCTCACTGCCTCCTACTCTATACCACTTGAGAGTGACCACACATATCACTGTCGATGAATACCTCTCGCTATCAATGGTCTAACGCTTTGTGTCCATGCAATAGGTCTCGGCAGCCAATCGTAAGACAGCTGTGGTTAACGTCACCTCAAAGATCGGGTCCATTGACGACAACACCTCCGGAGGTATCTATCCGTACCGGACCAGCAAAACGGCGCTGAATATGGTGTCGAAGTGTCTGGCAGTGGATCTGAAGCCCGCGGCCATCAAAGTGATTGCTGTCCATCCGGGTTGGGTTCAGACAGATATGGGCGGACCTAACGCTCTGATCAACACTCAGACCAGTGTTTCCAATATGATTGACACCATTAAGAGTATCAACGACTCAACGCTCGGAGACTTTCTTAATTACGACGGAAAGCCTATCCCTAATTAGGTGCCTACCGGTGCCCCACAAACACTACTATTCTTGTAATTATGTGTCCGATCAATAAAGTCTTAAAATAATCCTCAAGTTATATATGTATTCATTAAATGGTAACAGATTTTAGTTTTTATTACTTTTTTGTGTTTCAAATAAATTATGATTGTATCAGAAGTTAATGATTAAATAAAAATGATTTCTATGTTTAATCCAAAGTTATATTTTTATGTTTACCATGGTGTGATTTGCAATTCACTTTTACATGTAAATCATCATGCTTAATAATTAATGCTGAATAATGCTGACACAAGATTTATTAATTTAATTTAAAGTCCTGGATATGACTGCTTTATATTCTTGGTCCAAAGTATTTGAATACCTGGGCATTATTGCACAATGAATAGACTTTACCTGGAATAAACCAAACTATTAGGTTGGCAATAAATAGACAAATATTTAAATAAATTTTTAAACAAATTTATTTCATACCTAATAGTTTGGAATTTTATTTGAAACTTAATTATAAGTAATGATCCAAACTATTAGGTATACAAAAAAAATATATACAAATTTTTAACAAATTCATTGTACATCTATTAGTTTGGAAATTTAGTTGAAACTTAATTGTAGCCAATAAACGAGAATTACATAAATAGTTTTGAATTTAATTTCAATTTAAAATTTGTTGCATTTAATTTATATTTTTATGTATATTAAATGTTTTAAATTTTGCACAAACAATTATTTACTTAAGATTATAATAAAATAAGTTTATCATAAAACGGACCAAAACTTTATTCCCAAAATCACAATTGAAATGAATGCAGAATATTCTGACAAAAGCGCCGACACTCGTGGGCACCAGTACTTTATTTGTGTTCAATTCAGTACTCCTTTCCACAGAATATAACCCAAAATATGTGCAAAATATATGTTAATAACGTGAATATTATTAACAAAACTAAAACATAACTTAAATTAATTGAAAAAATATAAATTACTGTAATATTTAAACCCAAACTCCACCACAAAGTCTGTACGACTCTAATAATGACTATAATGTCAAATATTTGCTTTATTTATCATACGCTAAAACATTGAACACATTCATTGGATTGACATTCATTTTATTAGGCATTAAATCATACAATTGTTTAAATACAAAAGTTTTATCAATTGATTGTACAATAAATATAATAATAATAATATGCGAAACCATTTCACGGCTGTAGGCCAGGGGTCACCTACCATACCCTACTTTTCCCTCAGTCCGGTTGGGGTCAAAGGGGAACTGGTCATACTCGCAATGATCATCACTGGTGTCACACTTATAGTAATAAGTGGAGTATAATCCGACTTTCTGTGCCTCGGTTTGACATTCCTCGTCAGTACTGGTGGCACTGCAATAGAGCCGAAAAGTCCCCAAAACACAGACACCATTACCATCCTCACCATCTTTGCACGTCAACTGACGACTATATGATCATCAGCCGGACAATCATCGATACTACGACACCCGCCGTCAACACCGGTGTTGCCGCCCAACCAGATGGCCACCAATAGGACCACCAAAACGGGAATTAAAGCGTATTTCGTGTTAAGCATTGTACTGATTGTCATATACTTCTCGACACAATCTGTGGTACAGTCTGTGCTGTAATGACAGACCAGTGCTAACTGTCTATCAATTTATACGATACGATCAGTACATGAATACGAGTGATACGCGCAGTGTTCACAAACATCAAGATTTGATCACAACTTTGTATGAATGTGTCATTCGTTGTGAAGGCATTCCATTCACTATTAGCCACTCTTTACGGTCACAACCTTTCGGACATCTCTTCTTCTCTGCTATTCTTTTCATCCGCTCTTAAAAGGATTTATTTGTGGCCCAACAGGACTTTAATGTAACTGAATATATGGGAACTGGCAAATTGACCTAAAAACCAATTGACCTAAACTTAAATAACTTAATGACCAATAGACTTTTGACCATTGTAAGGATAGGTAAGGTTAGGTTAGGTCAAGGGGAACATTTTACACTGGTCATTAAGTTATTTAAGTTTAGNCAATAGACTTTTGACCATTGTAAGGATAGGTAAGGTTAGGTTAGGTCAAGGGGAACATTTTACACTGGTCATTAAGTTATTTAAGTTTAGGTCAATTGGTTTCTAGGTCAATAGACCCGCACCCGAATATATGTATGACTCCCGGAATGAAAATCACCACACCAGCACATCAATTGAAAAGCACCTTGCACTAACAAGTAAGTGAAATACACTTTAAAATAACCAGACGAACCTGGTGATTATTTTATTATTTTAGATCTTAAAATGATAATTATCATGGAATCAACACTTTCTTGATTGGCAACTCTAACTCCAACTCTAGTGTTCCTCATGGGCTATAAATGGCGTGAAATGTAATTTAAATCTCTGAAACACATATGGTTTGAGTGAATGAAGACATAGCACTGCATACCTGCGCCCATAGGTATCCAATAGGCGTCAAGACATGAGTGTTTCGCGGGGAAAGTGTGTCCAACCAATAGGTCTCTGCAGTCAATCGTAAGAAAGTTGTGGTTACCGTCACCTCAAAGACCGGAACCATTGACGGCAACACCTCCGGTAGGTCTACTATACCTACCGGACCAGCAAAAGGGCGCTGAATATGGTGTCCACGTGTCTGGCAGTGGATCCGAAGCCCGCGCTGCCATCCAAATGACACATTGGATGTGAAATACATTGAACACATTGATTGGATTGACATTTATTTATTAAGCATTAAATCATACAATAAAAGAATTTTTTCTAAATAAAAACATTTTATGAATTGATTGTACATTGAATATAATAATATGTGAAACCATATGATGGCTGCGGGGGCCAGGGGTTACTCGGCGTCGGGCATTTGGCAGACGCCATTAGTACAGGTGGCTTTGTCGCAAGGTAAGGAGGATTGGTTATCTTTGCAGTTATTCATACAAATCTCGTCGCTCTGGCATCCCTTGAATCCCTTGGCATATGTGGGGCCGGCCAACCAAATGACCACTAAAAAGGCCAATAAAACCGCTACTGAAGTATATTTGGTGTTCAACATCGCACTCTTTGTCATCCAATTCACGACCCAATCTGTGGTACAGTCTGTGCTGTAATGAAGACCCAGTGCTAACTGTCTATCAATTTATACGGTATGAGCAGTACATGAATACGAGTCATACGCGCAGTGTTCACAGACATCGAGGTTTGATCACAACTTTGTATGAATGTGTCATTCGTTGTGAAGGCATTCCATTCACTATTAGCCACTCTTTACGGTCACAACCTTTCGGACATCTCTTCTCTTCTATTCATTTTCATTCACTCTTAAAGGGATTTATTTGTGGCCCTAACAGGACTTTAGTGTAATTGAATATATGTATGACTCCCGTCTCAATAAGTGGTTTTTGAATAGAAAAACATTTGACGGGTTTTTACACAAATGGCCACAACAACCATGCGATCATCAATATTGACGTCTGTATGTACGCTGTGGTCAGAAGTATTTGGACAGCGATTTAGATCCAAAACACGGGGAGACACAGGGGGTGAGGCAATGCGTGGCTCAGTATTGGCGTGAAATGGCAGTGAGTTAACTGTTTGCTGGCCAACGGCTTTCCCCATCACTTCATTTTATAGTCTGGCGATCACTTTGAGGCCAGAGTCGGGTTGTACCGGAAGGGGCCGGGACTCGGGTATAACTGGTGAGCCCCGGGATGGGAGTATCGGTCGTACCATAGCATGTCGTGGTGTGTCGGCCGGAACTCATAACTGCGCGAAACGTGTACTCCTTTAACCGGCTGTTCTAACCGGCTGTCCGGTAAAGGATTAGCCAAACAATCGTCGCGTCCAACGGATTAATCCAATGCCGTAATCAAACCGGACGTAAAGGTGTCGTTCCGTTGGCTCCGGTCTCTCGGGAGAGAGCTTTCCGTTACGCTTTCGGCCGTCAGAATCGTGTTCACGGAGTTCGACCTCTACTGGCCCTTCACTAACCCTCTGGCATAGCGACCCTTCCACTGATGGCGTCAACCCAATGGCGAGCACTCCGTTACGGCCCACACGGGCTGTTCAAAGGATCGGCTGCGGGGGTGTCACCCGCGTAGGCCTGACCCCCCCTTTGTGCGACTCAAACAAGGGGTTTGGGACGATAGGGTTACCCCGTGTATTGAAACACACTGTATGGCACACAGCAATCACACAACTACTCAATTCGTGAACGAAAGGGAAAACGGATTTATTTCTAACATTTTGCTCTCAAATACAACTTTCGAGACAAAGAGTACATTAAATGTGAAATTAATGATCAATTAATAGTAAAAATACAAAACACTAATGAATATTAATAAACGTGTGTTTGATAATCACTAATAAGTTATGGGAAGATTATGATAATTTATAATAATGAATAGTTTTAAATGTAAATATTCTAGTAATTAATGATAAGTCAGTTGAACTCGTAATGTAGTGATTAAATAGTTGCGAATAAGTTCGTTGAGGCAATCGGTTACTAATCATCCGGTTGGTGGACATCTGAGGCAATGTCTTTGATCTCATCACTGGATTTTTGATCGTCAATCGCATATAGAGTACAGTTTAGATGATATATTGCATTATATATGGCCGTATTGTTTTAGTGCCACATTTTGTACAGCTTTCCCGTATTAAATGATTCACATTTGTAATCATAGGCTTAGTTCTCGATTGGGAACTCCATCTCTAACTCTAACTCTAGTGTTCCGTATGGGCTATAAATGGCGTGAAATGTAATTTAAGTCTGAAATATATCGTTTCCTGTGCCCAACCAATAGGTCTGTGCCGCCAATAGTAATACAGCTGTGGTTAGCGTCACCTCAAAGATCGGATCCATTGACGACAACACCTCCTGAGGTCTCTATCCGTACCGGACCAGCAAAACAGCATTGAATATGGTGTTCACGTATCTGGCAGTGGATCTGAAGCCAGCGGCCATCGAGTGATAAATTATATGTCAAATACACTGAACACATTCATTGGATTCGCATTCATTTATTAGGCATTAAATCATACAATTGTTTAAATAAAAAGCGAAGAAAAATAATATTAAAATAAGACACCCCCCGTCAAATTCTTTCATTTTTAATTATTTTAAAAAATTATATAACACATAAAATATCTATATTTATAACACCTAATCATAAAAGATTATACAAACTTTTATAGAATTTTCGTCCAACATTTGTTACATAAATGATCGAGTATAATTTATGATATATCAGTGTATATAAGTTACTTTGCTTAATTCAAATGCAATCGCATGAAGTATTTCAAATAAATTAAATTGTGAAAAATATAAATATTAGTATTTGTTTCTGAATTTCAATGTATAATAAGATTACCTTGTCAATAATATTATATATTATATAAACAAATGAAATTAGTATGAAATATGTTGTTATAAAAAAATCTAATTTTGTTTAAATTTAAAAATCTCACAAAAAATAGTAATCAAGTGTCGACTAGATATCAAAAACAAGTGTTAAATAGTATTAGCATATCCTGTATTAATTAATTATTTATTTACGAGTTATAACAATGCAATTATTTTCGCAATTTATTTCTAATTAATGATTAAATTCATAGAGAATTAAATGCACTGTAATCACAAACTTTTATAACTATTTTCATAAACAAAACATTTTAGACTCACTTTACAAGTTAGTTGTCAATGAATTTCAAATATCTGAATGATTGGCAAATGAGTTGAAAACACTTAACATGAAATTCATGACTTTTGAAATAAAAAAGTTACACTAATTTCCATAAAACACATACAAATTAAATTCTTACTCATATAATGAGTAATTAAAACCTTGATGAAAAACTAAACTCAAAATACAATTTCAAAACTTAGCTATTAATCAACAAAAAACTATTACTAAAACAAAACTTAATAATCAATAAAATCTAATTTCACAATAAATCTCAAGTCTAACGACATATTCATCAGAATATTACCAAAAACCATGAGTTTCTCATATTTCACATCCATTTTCTGTTCATCACTGGCTAACTGTCCCTTTGATTGAACACAATGTCTGACCACAATCTAATGGATCCCAATATAACCCGACACTTGATGTACGACCATCTATACCGGCGCCGACGCACCTTCCGTCAGACATACCGGTGCTATTCGATGGCCGTATACACGGGCACTGAGCCCCGGGAGCACGTGGACAGGGGCGGTAAGATAATAATGCCGGCGTCGGCGCTCCACATCCTCACCGAACGGGAAGTGGTGTATCCGATGCTGTTTAAGATGAGAAACGCGGCGAACCCGACCTCCCGGGCCACTCACGCCGGGGTACTGGAGTTCGTGGCCGAGGAGGGAGTGGTGCACACGCCCTACTGGCTCATGAAGAACCTGTGCCTCAATGAGGGCGATGTGGTTGTCGTGGAGAACGTGGACCTACCGGTCGGTACATTCGCCCGATTCCAGCCCCAGAGCCCGGACTTCCTCGACATCCACGACCCCAAAGCCGTCCTCGAGAACTCGTTGAGACACATGGCGTGTCTGAGCGCCGGCGATGTCGTGGCCATCGAGTATAACGACAAGACCTATGAGTTGTGTGTTCTGGAGGTGAAGCCGGCGTCGGCCGTACGTATCATTGAGTGCGACCTGAGTGTGGAGTTCGCGGCGCCGGTAGGCTATGAGGTGCCCAAGAAAGTGGCCGCCGATGAGCTCGACATCGGATCGATGGGTAAGTCGTTTGTGCCCTTTTCAGGAGTAGGCCATCGATTGGATGAAAAGCCAATGATATCTGATATTTCAGATATAAATGATGGCCAGAAAGTGGTGCCCACCCGAGGAATACCTGATTATGAGTACCAAATGGGAACCATTACCTTCAATAGAAATCCCAAACCCATTCAATCGACTAAACCTCAGGTTATCACTGGTTTCGTGGCATTTCAAGGCGAGGGAAAGACTATTAAATGAAAAACTCGTTAAATGTCTATAATTATAATTTGCAATCAATTTGTTACTTAAAAATGAATACAATTTTTGTTAATTGAAATGATTACTAATCAATGATTAGTGTTTATTGATTTATATACAGTTTTTCTAAATCATAATTAAATGCATATTAATAGAGAATATAAGTTAAAAACTACCAAAAATACAATACTTTTCCAAAAAACAGATTGTTTTTTGTCATAAAATTGAGATTAAAGTGCCGTTTGTTTTGAGATTAAAACTATAAGTATATTAATAAATGTCATATAAAGTGATTATAAATGCATCGATAGTTCAATAAAAGTATTTCTAATAAAAATTAACAATTATTAAAATATAAACTCCGACACAACGATCGGTCGCATATCACTGGGAACTCCATCTCACACCTCATTAATAACCGCAAACGTTTGCCTCCGGGCGCCGGCAGCTCCCGCGTAGAGACTAAGCCTCGAACCGGCCAAACACGGCATAGACATACCGTTCCTCAGGGCTCTCCTCTTCTCGAACTCCTTCAACGTATAGCCCAACCCCTGTAGGAACAGCCGGAAAGCCTGGGCCACCTTCAGGGGCTGCTCCTCCAACACCATCGCCCCGTCCGACAGCTTCATCCACGTGCTGTCCTCCGGCATGAGCTTCCCATTCATGGCCACCGACTCGTCCACGTGCGGGCTATACTGTCCGCACACCACAGCCACCGCGCACTTGAAGTTATTCAGCTTATCGTCGCGACTGACGCCGAGGGCCGTGCGCTGGACGTATTGCTCGATAAACAGGGCCAGATTGCGACGGTTCACGTACGGGCCCGCGAAGTAGCGCCGGTACATATCCACGGCCTCGTCGTCGGTCACGCGGTCCGGAAAATTCAAATCCCCGAACAGATGCCAAACCAAATAGTTTTGTACGGATGGTGGGAGCGATCGGTCGTTCACCGCCTGTTCCCCGGATAATAGTTGCCGTAAATTGAGTTTCTGGTAAAACCATTCGGTCCACGAGCTGCCGGCGCCCGACGGGCTCAGTAGGAACAGGCCCTCCACGAGCTCCGGCGCCGCCAGTGCCACGCGGCTCAGGACGTTAGCGCCGGCGCCGTACGCGAAGCCCACGAATTGGCCGATCTTGTAGTGTCGGCACACGTCGAGCACCTGGTCGGCCAACTCGTCCATCGTCGGGAACCGGTAGTTGAGGGGCAGGTCGTCCGCCTCCGACTCCTGTCCCGGCGCCGTCACGTGATAGACGCGGAACGTCTCCAGGAGTAGCCGATTGTCGGCTGTGCTGAAGAACGACTCGAAATTGGACGACCAGTTGAGGCCGATGTCGTGGTATGTGATGATCACTGGCTTCCCATCCCTCGCGTTCGACTCCTGTTTGGTCACCAGAATTGGTCCGTATTTTGTGATCACCTTCTCGTCGGCGAGCGACTCGTCCCGAGAGTCTGATCGGCGGCAGTTGTCGTCCAAACTTTGAGCACCGCTTTTGCCGCCAATGAGTGGCGAGTCGGCCGCCGACGGCGAGTGCATTGCGTCCAACTCGAGGCCATCAAAACTGGAGCGACTGCTAAGGGAACGGGTGTTCGAGAGTTTCCGTTTGATGCCAAACGTAAACCGCTGACCCTTTTCCGCGTAATTCACGTCATTTGCGTTGGGATTGACTTTCTTGTAATAAATGGGCATTTTTTACCCCAATATATACGAGTGACTCGTATTCGCAATTAATATATCGATAAAAATATGCCAAAAATATGTTTCAATAAAAAACAGTTCACACAGTAGTAGACGCAAAAAAACCCCAAAAAAGTTTTATTCACTTTTCAATGCTATTCACAGAATATAATGGGTTTTCCAATCGCATCGGAGTATTGATGTAATCGTATGAATAGTTTGCCACAAAAATATTCACGAAACCATTTGCTATGTGTGTTGTGTATGTAATCCACAATCAAATGTCTATTTATTTATATTATCAGATAAATCGCGGAAACAAATAATCAATTCTTGTATTCACACTAATCGTAGTCAACGTAATCACTGAAACATTTGATAGGAGAGGACAGACACTTTCATGTCTGTCGATAGCTATCCAATAACACAGGCATTCAATGCACACAAAGTTTCGTATATTGAATACAAACAGAAATATATTTAAAACATTTGAAATTCAATTGCAATCGACGGATACAAACGAGTCATACAATTGTGTGTAGAAAATGAGTGATCGCTGAGAAACTCATAGACAGAGTGAACACTAGAGAGAGAAAAATGAAACAAAATTTTGTGTTTCAATGAATAAATTATTTAATCATTTCTAACGCTATAATAACTGCATGGATAGGCACACCACACATACAGGGATAGAAAACAGGGACTGGAAGGGACAGTAACCATGAAAACGGTGCACAAATGATTGTACAAAACAAATGCTTACGTAAGGCCTACCAAATAGAGGCCTACTTTTGATGAGGTGGTGCTTGAGATGTGAAAAACTCATTCATTGCGTGTCATTAATATCGAGAAAAATATGGCATATATTTCGCCACTAATACGATACACCATTGCATTAATCCATTGCTGTGTTAATACACAGGCTATGGATAGATAATTATAGGCAACTAATACCTGTACAGTGAAAACCGGTTACACCTGTAATCATACAGTCTATGCCGCAGCATATGGACGTGACATTTGATAGGAACGGTATATCATATGTTACATGAAAAAGCGATTCAATCAATACATCACTCGCCTGTGTATTGGATTTCAATGTAAAACAATAACATAATTATTAAACGCATTCATTATAATAGAGAAAATAATAGTAACATGTATTTTTAGTTTAAAAATGTCAAACATTTTTATGTGGGAATGTATGCAATGAAATGAATAATAAAAGTAATTATTAAATATTAAATTCAATAATCGGGTATAAAATAAATTAAGAAACTTAAATAATATGACAAAAATGTGTGTTTGAAAAATGAGGTGCAAATCAAGTGTCAAAAAACAATTCAATATTCAGTAAATAATATCATAGAAAGTATTTTGGGCGACAAATTAAAGCAAACAAAAATACTTTTTGAAACAAATCAAAAGCAAACCTCAAGAAAAACTAATTAAATTTAAAACATAATTCGTATTCAAAAAACTACAGACAAAACGCAAACACAAATCAAAACTATGTCTACAAAAGCGATCGACTGTTAAATTAGATACAAGTCTTTCAAACACTTCAATCGCTTTCAACCACAACTCAAATGTTTTAATTCGTGTCAAAAAGTTTTGTTCAGAAAATATTTAATTCATTACAAAAACACTCGAGATTTTAAAAACGCTTTTCGACTCCAAAAACGCAAATATCGGCCAAAAAGCGAGAGAAAAGTCAGTCATAGTCTCGAAATCGCATCGGATCTCAAGAAAACGATTAACACTTCGTATTGTCTCTAATATCCATCAGTTTTCGGGGAACTGTTGCTGTCTCTGGACCCACGCCTGGAACACATCGGCGCAGTGTTTGACACAACACTCGGAGGAACAGTACTCGGAATCCCATTCCTGCGAATCGATCGCGTCGTTAGCACAACCGCCGCGAATGCAGTGCTGTTTGGGAACGGCGTTCCCGGGCTGGGGGTCCGACGTGGACACCAGGTTCTGCTGCAACTGCTCGCCACCGCCGCCACCACTACCGTCACCATAGCTCTCACCAGCATTGGCGCCAAACTGTTGATCATTACCCGTCATCGGCGGTGCGCCGGCAGAGGACTCGAACACATTCATCGCCTCATTGTTCTGGGAATTCGTTTCGTTCGCCACCCGATTGTCCATCAAATCGGCCACTGATTGGTTGACATCCATCGACGGCAATAACGACGACGACGTCTTCGCGATGGCCGCCGAAGAGGAAGACACTTTCGCGTTCGCCAAAAGGCCGGCGATCTGTTGCGCGCGACTCGACGCCAACGTCTTCAAGTAGTTCTTCTTCTCGGCGTCGGCTCTCTCTTTGTAGACCTGTTTCTGGGATCTGTTCAGTGACTCCCAATTACTGGCGACCACTTTGGAGATGTCGCCGAAACTCGCCGTCGGATTCGCCGCTTTGATCACCGATTGGGCGTCTCTGAAGAACAGGGCGTAAGCGCTCACGGGTTTCGCCGGTCGACCCGCACCTCCCGTTCCGGTCGATGACTGCGACGGACACTCCTTTTTGGTCTTCGGCTTCGGCGCCGACTTCTTATGGCTACCACTCGTCGTCCGCTTCAGACAATTGGGGTCCGAATCGGTGGTCGTCTTCTGTGGACAACTGTTTGCTGCGATATTGGCGTCGAAATTGTGTCCAAAATCACCGCCAAATTGATTCAAATCGTTGGCCGTCAGCAGTAAATCACCGCTGAATTGAGTCCAAGAGGTGATGGACGACGACAGCGGCAACTGTTGGTCAGCGGCGGCGGTGGTCACCAGTGATCCGCAATCACTGCCGAAGTACTGATTAGTGTCGAGACAATGATCACCGCCGAAGACAGCGGTATTAAACAGTGAATCAGTGGTGTCTACCAGCGCTCTGCCATTAACTACCAGTGCTTTGTCTGTTGCGATGAACTCCTCGTATGCCAGCTGTTGTCTGCACGACTCGACAGCACTGGTATGACTGTTGTTGGCACCGGAGGAATGGCTTACGTATGGGTTGGCAGTGATCTGATCCAACACTGCACTCAATCCATTCATCCTGCGTTCAGTTCAACGCCACGCTAACCATCCTTTTGGTCACCAATTGGTGGCAAACATTGCATACAATTAGCGCTCGTTTTGTGCGATAACTCTCGTAAACAACACTCAAATGCAGTGCTTTTGTTTCAAACACTTTTTCGTATACACTTATGGCGCCCACTAGTGGTCAACATTACTACTACTGTTATACAGTCTACTCTACGGACGAATAACGATACAGTATACTAATGTTTATTTTTTTTATTAAAGTACTGTACACCCGCGCACATT